CTATAAATTGTACTATGAAAGACAGTTTTCCGTAAGAGAAAATTCTAAGTTCTCTGCTCCCTCCCAGAAGTTTTTATGATCTACTTGATACTCATAAGGCTTATATTTATATCAGCCACCTCTTTATTTTTTAAAAAAATGGTAAGAAAAAAATAACCTTATGTTTATCTCAAATATTTTGCAGCGCATGGAAACCGTATGAAATTCTGTGTCCGTGAGTATGCTTTTAGGGGGACACAGTCACGCCCTGTCACGTCTTACGATGTATGACTGCTTTAACATTACAACAGCTGAACAGTTACAAGAGACACTGTATGGACCGCAGGATCTGAAATACCTATTCTGTGGCTGTTTAGAGAGAAACCTTGTGGACCCGGCCGCAGCTGATTCTGGTGCATGTTCACATTTGAGAACTGTGATGTTTAGTGACGGTCGTGAAACGTAATCCTATGTTTGTGTCAACAAGGGGAGGGAAGAAACTCCTGCGGCAGTTACTCTGTGCATTCACTGAGCACCCGTTTGTGAATCTGTTTCAGGTAGATAAGTAAGAAAGAGCTTTTGGAATAAGATCCACGGACTTCAGATTCTCAGGTCCTTCCCTGGAAGCTTAGAAACCTTAAATCATCTCCTCTTTGGATCCCTCTTCTGTAAAGCACAATAAACAATCCACACCATGCAGGATCATGCTGAAACTATAATCAATAAACGAGATGAAGTGCATAACCAATTTCCTGGCACAAAGTAGGTGTTTTAGAAACAGAATTATCCTTTGAGTTTTAAAAGATGGTTTTCACTCTGAAGAGATTTCCAGGACACAGTAAGATACCAGGAACTGTGTCAGGGCCTGAAAAACATATGCGCATGGTGTTGTTTATTTAGAAAAGTATTGCGGGGGGGGACTTCCCTGGTGGCACAGTGGTTAAGAATCCGCCTGCCAATGCGGGGAACACGGGTTCGAGCCCTGGTCCGGGAAGATCCCATACGCCACGGAGCAACTGAGCCCATGCGCCACAACTACAGAGCCCGCCTGCCACAACTACTGAAGCCCGTGTGTCTAGAGCCCGTGCTCGCAACAAGAGAAGCCACCGCAATGAGAAGCCCGCGCAGCACAACAAAGAGTAGCCCCCGCTCGCCGCAACTAGAGAAAGCCCGCGTGCAACGACGAAGACCCTATGCAGCCAAAAATAAATAAATAAAATGAATAAATTTTTAAAAAAAGAGAAAAGTATTGGGGCATGGAGAAAAATGCCATATTCACTCTTCAGCTCCCAACGTTAATTTTCTTTAAAACTCTTATAAACAGGACTCAAGTACAATTAGGTTTTAGAGATCCAGGATGTAAGTGAAAGCGCTTATCAATATGTCTGTCAAACAAGACACCTGTTTCAAGTAGGTATTTAATCACTATTTATTGAGTGAGCAGTATGTCTGGTTTTCATTGTTGCTTCTCTGTTGCAAGATCCACTGTTTTATTAACCTGGTCTTCCATTGTCATGCTTAGTATCTTCTTATTTTATAACTAGGATTAAACACTGTTCCTCCAAAGGACACTACTTGGTTGGTTGAAGATGAAGGTATTGGATAGCTTTTCCTAATTAAGCAACCCAACTCATATAAAGCCATATTTTTGGCTGTCCCTGCCTGATGCCCAGGGTGATGTGTCTGCATGGTGATCACGTATGCCCTGTCTCATGAGCGACAGCAGCCAGCTCTGCAGGGATCCAGCTCCCTCCTGCCTGAAGGGCCAGTTCCCTCCCATAGACTGGGCTTTGCCTCACTGCCATGACCCTTTCTCAAAGTGCAAGGATTTTTATTCACTTCTTCCCAATGGCTTTACTTCCTGAAAGAAGCATATGCTTCTTTCTCTATTTATTTCCAATCCATTGGCTTAGAAATTCCCAAAGTGAAAAGAAAGAAACTGGAAAACCAGAGTTTCCAGAGAGAAGACTTGAGTACCCACTGGATCAGGACATCCCAGACTCCAAGAATTTTTATCCTCTCCTTCAGATAAAAGTGGGAAATTCCAGCTGATCGCCTGGAAAATTGCCTCTGTCTGCCAGCAACCTTGAAAGAGATTTTGAATTGGGTAGATACACACAAACCCCTTGACATTTAGGTCTATGTGATTCTTTGAAAGCTAAACATATCGACACCAAAGGGATTTCTCCAGAGTAGGATGCCGTAGAGAAGATACACTCCTGCATTTCTCTCTCACATCACTCTTTTCTGTTTATTTAAAACCCACTCTGACGCTAGAATTCATCTCTGTCACCTCTGCTATTCCTACTCTGCCAGTATCCCCTGCCTCCTTTTTTTTAAAAAAATAATAATAACATCGGTGAGGTTGAGAATAAGGTTCATTTTAGTCCTGAAGAGTAAAGTTTCCAGGTGCAAATGAAGCCTTAAATGGGAGGCATGTATCACTCCCATATGGTTTAGCACATCTATGAACATAACACTCACCAACCTTATTAAACTCTCACATAAATGGTAGGTTTGAGTATAGATGAAGGAAGAAAAATCTCTTATCCAATGTCTATATTTATTTTGTCTTTCACCACAAATCATTTCTTTAGTCTTGCTACAGATTTTATTATTTGCCAGAGCGAGGACTGGTCAGTTTTTATCTGACCTGAAAACTCTTTCCAAAAGCTAAGATTTTTTGCAGTACAATTAAAACACACACACACACACACACACACACACACACATTTTGGAAGATTTAATACTTTCATGGATGGAACCCAGGGCTGCTGTCGAAAGGTAGTCATAACCTTGAATAATTTATGTTTTCTTTGGCCTGGTTTAAAACATTTTGATTACATAAAGAATATAATACTTCTCTTCATCTTTCCTTCATTAAAGAGCCATATTGTATTTTAATTTAAAAAACTTATGAAAAATCACTCTATGAAAAAAAGTGGTATAAGAGATGTGCCCAAGTTAAATATATAGAAAACATGTAGGGTCAGGATTCATTTTCCGTATGAGTGATATAAACCTAGGAAGAAGAAATATTCTCCAAATCCAAGTGTGTTAAAGTTAATAACGTCATTCTTCAAAATGCCTGTCTGGTTTTATTTGTGTGAACAATGTATGCTGGTGTCAGACTCTTTATCAGGCACTTGTCCACCTGTAGAGGCAAAGTTTCCCAGCAATCACCAGGAGGCAGAAGGCAAGAACTCACCTGCCAGTGTTAACAATGACCAGTAGTTATTGGATTGTTGCTGTGTTCACTCTTCTAATAGCTCTTACTCATATTATCCAGGCTGCTATAGAATGAGTAATTTCATCCTTTCCCCCTAGCAATCTGTTGCAGGATTTTGCAATTTGCCCATTATTGAAGTCGGCTAAAGTTGTCATTCATTTTCTCCAGCTTCTCCTTTTGATACCTTATTTTCTACCTTAACATAGTAAATTTTTGTTTCATTGACTTCATATTCCTAATACAATGAAAAATGACATGCATTTCATAACTCAATTGTACTAAATTATCAGTGAGTAAATTATTTGTAAAATATATTTTAATTTCATTACAGGACAGAGCCTTAAGAGAAAGGAATTCAGTTTGGTTAGTTTAAAGGCAAAGGGAAAGAAAGATTCATTTGATTAAAAAAATAACGCATTGAGGACCATTGTAGTTTAATCAAAATACTGTTTGATTGATTACACTTCCAGCAACATCAGACAGTCCATCCTGCTGACCACAAAGAGAAACAAACAAAGAGATCAAATAATCAGACTGCCATCAGACACGTCACAATTGTCAAAGCTATCTTAACGGGGCACAAAACTCTCCTGATAAAGGAAGAGACCGATAAACTGGCAAGGTGTTCTGATCGCAAAAGACACCATTAAAAGAGTAAAAAGAAAAGCCACGGTTTATGACACAATATTTACAGCATTTTATTTAGTTAGTTACTTTTTTTAAGTTTTTTTTTTTTGACATGGACCAATTTTAAAGTCTTTATTGAATTTGTTACAGTATTGCTTCTGTTTTATGTTTTGGTTTTTTGGCCGCCAGGCATGTGGGGTCTTAGCTCCCCCACCAGGGATTGAATACGCATCCACTATGTTGGAAGGCAAAGTCTTAACCACTGGACCACCAGCGAAGTCCCAACAGCATTTTAAACTAGCAAAATTGTCCTATCCTCAAGATAGAAAGTGTTCCTACAAATTAATAAGTTATAAAAAACAAAAACAAAAAATAACCAACTAACAGCCCAGTTCAAAAGTGAGCAAAAGGTTTGAACTAGCACCTCATACTTTGGGCATCCAAATGCCTGATGCACCCATGAAAATGATACTCCGCCTCATTGAACGTCAGGAAAATTTACATTAAAACCAGAATGAGAGACCTCTGCCCAACCACCAAAACGGCTACCATAGACAGACTGATATCAGGAAGTGTTGGCAAAGATATCGAGCAACTGGAACTCACTCACAATGCTGGTGGGCGGACGTATAAATTAGTGCAACCCTTCGGAAAATTGTTTGGCAGTATCTATGAAAACTGACCATAGAGATACCTGGTTCCATTCTTGACATACGTGTATACATACCTGCACCAAAAGTTTTGTCCAAGGATCTTCACAGCATCACTATTCACTAAAGCCAAGAAAAGGAAAGAACCTAAATGTTTATCAAGAGTAGGATGAATGAATAAACTGAGGTGTATTCATACAAAAGAATATTGCATAGAACTAAAAACTGAATGAACCGCCCCATGCAACAACATAGATACATCTTGTAATGTTACATGAAAGAAGCTAGACAGAGTAATAAATACTGTAGGATTCCATTTATATAGAGTTTAAAAACAGGCAAATTGAATCTATGGTATTAGAATTTAGGAAACAGTTATTTTTTGGCATGGGGAGTGGTAATTACTGGGAGGTCACTGGGAGATGCTTCTCAGATGCAGGTAATGCTTGACTTTTTGACCTGGATGGTGGTGACATGTCTGTGTTCACTGTGCCATCATTCATTTTCCCGTACAGGTATGATCTGTGCACTTTTCTTCGGTACGTCATACATCAACCAAAAGTTTATTGACTTTTGGATGCCACTTGATCCGAGACACCCACATCCTGGACTGAAGGATTGGATTTGAATGAAACTCATTTTCATCGCAAGACAAAGGTAAACCAAAATCTTTATGAGATTTATATTATCTTCAATTTTTTTCCATCTCTTTCTCTTTTTTTTTTTTTGCCCACTGAAGTTTTCTCTTCCCTTTTAGCTTTAGCCAGCATTAAAAGGGTACAATGTACGGTTTTCCATGTTGCCTGATTTTCAGCTCATTCCTGTCCCCATAAAAACGTGTGACACTTGGTGTGCGGAGCGATTTCCAACAAACGTGTGCATGAGACTGAGGCAGTGTGTACACACTGTGTTCTCCCTAGGCTGATTTCCACAATGGAGATGTTTCTTTGTAATTTGCTACTTTTTTTTTTTTTTTTTTTTTACTCTTAACAAATAGGGTCAGTGAAACTCATTAACTGTCTTCTTGGTATGAACGCTAAAGAAACAACAAACAAACAAAAAACCCAAGAAAGGCTAGTCTTTTATGTCTATTTGCAGAGTGACTAATGCAGTTACCTCCCTCTGGAGAGTCCTGATTTATCACTAAATGGACTCACTCAGGACTCTGTGAGGCCACCTTCCAGACGTTTACGCTTCTCACTTATCAGATTATGTCTCATTGAAATGGTTTTCATGAGACTCCCCCCTCCACGTGCCCCATTCTCTTTATTCCTTCCCCAACAGACCTTAGAATTAACCCCACATTTCACCGTGGATTCGAGACCACACAGGATGAAAGACTTTGAAAAACTGTCCGTATGAATAAGTTGATTATTTTTTTAATAGACTAAAAATCCAATCAGCTGCCTTCAGTTTTCTATAATTTAAATTCTGTCCGTGCTTTTCTCTGATGGATTCAAGCTTCTAAAGCGACCTGTTATAATGCCATTTTTCAACAAGAAGATCAATAGTGAGCATTTATAGTTTCCACTCCGGTGGGGGGAAGGTATTAGAAGCAGTATTGTAAACGATAGTGAGAGATTACCTCTGAAAGAGCCATTTCATTAGAAGTAGCCAGCAAAGGTTTGGGCGATGAAGGTTTTTCTTAAACTACATTGCGATGGATGCTAGAGAAATTGGCAATTTGCTGGGCGCTGAATGATTGTATTTCGTACAAGTTCTGGACACTGGTTTCTCAGTTAAGCTTTTGTTAAATACAAGTGCTAAGAATCATCCGATAAGAAAGAAAATGGGTCAGCATTTTAAACCGGCAAAACTCAGTCATCTGTAGGAAATAACACCCCTCTTCTGACTTAAGTTACATATAAAAACACAGGTGACTGCATATCCTGGAGAAAGTCACATATCCTTTGGGGGCTCAGTTTCCTTGTCTTTAAAATAAGGGTTACCGTACTTGCACCCATAAGACCGTGATGGAAATTAATTGATACACGTGAATGAAAACATCGTCCTCATCATTCGAGGGGCTTACCTTTCTCCAACAGTTAGGGAAAGACAGGGGTGTCCTCTAGGCCTACCGCTGTCTTGGCTTCTCCGCCACCACTGCCCCCTAAATACAGGGCTGGTCCTGCAGCCTCTCGCTCTTACGTGCATCACTGACTACCTTCCCCACTGCTGACCCTCACCTGAAGCTCCGGGTCCCTACGAGCCCTGGGAAGAGTGTTGTCCTTCCATGTGATCAACAGAAGCAGGTAGACTATGAAAGGACACTTCTAACCCTAATCCCCTACCCTCCACTGCCAAGCCTGAGCCGGTACGTGCCAAGAATTACAGTTGTGTGTAGCGCTGCCCAGCTGTGTAAGCAACTTACCTACCACCTGTCAGGTAACAATGAACCGAATTTATTGAGTTGTTGCTATAGGTACTGTGGCATTAGTTCTTATCAATAATGTGTAGGCTGTTACGTACGACAGGGAGGTGCAAGGAAACAGATAACAAGGGGAGAATGTTTTAAAGCCATAGACTTCCTATATTTTCCTTAAATTGCAAGGGAAAAACACCAGCCCGTAATGTTTCTCCCATCTTTAGATTCAGGTCTCTTGGAAGAGCATTTCCTCTTTCAATCTTGCACATGCAAATCCCCACCTCCTTTTAGGGAGAAGTCAAAGCAGTAGATCTGGTCCTACGATCATCCGTCTGTGTTCCCCTCTGTCCTCCCCTGGAATCCAGAGGCCATGGAAGAAGAGAGGATTTGGAAGGGAGAGTCCAAGCTGGGCTTACACTCAGTTACAGCCCCTTGTGAGCGCCCGTAGCTGTGCACCACTGGGAGGTACAGCTTGGCCTCGTCATCGATCTGGACCATCCTACGGGAGACCATGGACCCTCAGAGATGCTTCACTGTAAATGCATATGGGGAGAGAGAGAGAGAGAGAGAACACCATTTTCTCAACACGCCCCTGCAGCCAGTAACTCGGAGGCGATGGGTCTTCGCCATCCGCCAGGGCAGGTTTGCTTCGAGAGAATCATCACACCTTTCCCCTTTCACTCCAAACAGGTGGGCTGCCCACAACAGTGGTGGTGTGTCACCTCATGTAACTGCCTGAGTCATCTACCCAACATAACAAGGCAGCGTCCTCATTGCCAGCAGCAAACACTTCTCTATACACCACGTGACAGTCTGGGAAAACAGGAAAGGGAGCAGACAAGAGCTGTGCTAACAGCACCTCCAGGCTGAGCGTGATCTGCGATTCTATCAAGGGATTTGTGAGAGGCGTAGGTGGCTATTGCTTGGGACTGGCATTGCAGGGATAAAGCAAGGAAGTTGCCCAAACAGAGCATTTCAGAAGTAAAAAAAGAAGAAGAAGAAGGAAAAAAAAATCAGGTGTGGCACTCTGGGAGTTGCAGTAGAGGGGAGGAACCTTGCTCTAGAAAATGAGGCTCCCAGGCCACAAAAATGACAAAGACAATGCAGAAAATGTGTAGATGCCACTGCTTAAGAACCACCCCAGGGTGCTCTCTTTCCATGATAAACACGGAGGTCTCTGATAGACTACGACCCATCCGCCAGCCTCCAGTGGTCATCTCACTATTTCCAGGTCTAGATCGAAAATCATTTCCAGTCCCTCGCTGCCATTCTCCGTGACCCATATTTTTTGGAATGTCTTTCCAAGGGGCCGTCCGCTCGCTCTTTGTACACACTCGTTTTGTCGCTGGGTGGATTTGCAGTAGTGTTCCCGTGAAGATAAGCTGTTGACATTAGACAGATGTCTTAATAAGATTCTGTTCACTGTGTTAGAACCTAGAAGCTCTGATTCCGCGGAGAGGATAAAGCCAGGAGAAGGGCTTGTGCAAGTTCCCAGCTGGGATTTTTGCAGAAGGCAAGCTTGCAGACACTCAGAAGCCAAGCCCCCGGCCCGGGCAGAATAGGAAGGTTCAGTCTGTGGTCAGCGGTGCTGCCCCCGGCCCTTCCTTGAGTCCCCCAGGGCTCTCTGTCATGCTCTGCGATTCCCTGCCCCACTGCCTTAAATGTGCCTGTGTCCTTCTCCTACCTTTTGCTGCCCACTCCACCCCAAAGCAAAACCAAACAGAACTTCAGGGCTGTCTTCCTGGTAGCTGTGCCTGGTGGACAAAATCACTTTCAGGCCTAAGGTTTCGTGCACACGTTAGTTCAACGCACTGAACTGCCTGAAAGTGGGTTAAAAGGGTCACATGTGTGCGGGGCTGGCGCAAGGCCTACGAACGCCCGTTTCTCCTGAAAGCCATTCCCATTTCTGTGGTCTCGGTAAGATTCCCTTTCTATATGTCCCCCTACAATCCCCTAGTTTTCCTTTGGTGAGGCTTCTTATTTTGTATACAACCCGTTTGCGTTTTCATTCCCTGATGGTTGGAACCACATCTGTCCTGTTGGCTATGATTTCTGTAGTGTCTAACACACGGGGAGATTACTACATAGACGTTTTTGGTTTCAAGAGAGAAATCAACCCTAGGATAGCTATTGTGTTTTAATGATATCAGTGGCTCATCTTAGGGGGTGACATCCTCAACTTAGAACCCAGCAGGCGTCAAGACGCCCTGCCCTGCAGAAGATGCCATGGAGTGTGGGCGCATCCTGGGCCGTATAGGATGCTTGCCTTCTCTCCCACTGCCAGTTGACTTGGGTGGCTTCCGTACCCTCCATGGCCTTCTCTCGCACTTCACCTCTTGGTTCAAAACACCTGCTTTCAGGGCTTCCCTGGTGGCGCAGTGGTTGAGAGTCCGCCTGCCGATGCAGGGGACACGGGTTCGTGCCCCGGTCCGGGAAGATCCCACATGCCGCGGAGCGGCTGGGCCCGTGAGCCATGGCCGCTGAGCCTGCGCGTCCGGAGCCTGGGCTCCGCAACGGGAGAGGCCACAACAGTGAGAGGCCCGCGTACCGCAAAAAAAAAAACCACCTGCTTTCAGCCTACAAGCTCAAGACACCTGTCTTCTCTGGGTTGTCTTGGTGACTACTGGGAAGCCTCTGTTTCTTGGGGGTTTGGGGGTCAACGGAGATAACAAAAATGCCTTGACTGCTCACTAATAGAGAGCTAGAGGGACTCTTCCGTCTGTAACGGGCAGCGGCATTTTCATTCATTACTCTGCTTTGACAGAAGAGGCAAGGGGCCAGTTGGGGGCCAGATGTTCCAGTCGGCCGTCTGAGGCCGTGTCGCTTTCACGCCAAAGCCCACATCTGCTCACGTTTCGGCCTGAAGCTCACTGACTCACGTTTATGCCTGTGACCTTCTAGAACAGATGGCTGATCTTCTAGGGCCAAAGGCACTAAAGGAAGTTGTTCATTTACTTTACAGATTAAAAAAAAATGTCCTCCACTGTATGAGCGAAGCCCCTTGACTATGTGTCTTTCCTTCCTGTTTCTGGTGGGAACAGATCATCAGAGAGAAAGGTCTTGACCATACTGTGCAGATCCTACCATGAGGGGCCTGGGAGAAAAGGGGAGCGGCTTTCCCCTGTACCTCTGTTTGCTGGAAACGGAAAGAAGAGCAAGAGAGGAATTTAGGAAAGTTTTGCCCAAGGGCTCAGAACTCAAACTTATGTCTATGCAAATGGACCATATGGTACAGTCTTTACAGAGGCCAAATTCCCAGGGCATCCTGGGGTTTCCCTAAGTCAAGATGAAAATTCAGCAAATGCTATCAACACTGCTCCACTGACTTCCGCAGCTGGGCAGCCCTCGAGTGAATCAAGCAATTAGCTTCCAATAAATGTACTAAGCTCCTTCTCTCCTTTCTGTTGCCTCCTGGGTTTTCCTGGGAGTTTACGTCCCTGGGACGACTGGGAGTATATTTGTGCAAAAAGTATGTTATACACAGTCCATGTCAGAAGAGGTCAGAGTAAATGACCCTCTGAGTCAACAACACAGTGGCTCTGAGTCATTTGTGGCTACCCAAAATCTGTGCGTCTCTCCCTATTTCAGCGCTCACGGGCCTCTCCAGGATCTGGGTGGCACAGTAATGACAGAGAAATAAAGTGGATAGAAAGACGATTTGGCTGGCAAAATCTGAGATGACTTTGTTGGACCCAGGGGGTCCAGCATGCAGTGGGAAACAGGCCATGTCCTTTTTGAAGTGCAACCAAGAGAGAGAACGTTTCGGAGATATCCCGTAAACCAAATAAGTCCACAAGTTACAAGTAACCCCTGAAGGGTCTACCCCTTTTATCTCGCTTCACCTTCCCCTTTCCATGCAAAGCCACACAACTGGGGTAAGAGGAATGTCTGATCTGCTCCTGGCAGGGGCAGTCTTCTTTGATAGCTCAGTGGTGGCCACCTTTCTAATGGCTGAGCTTTGAGATTCGAAAAGCAAGTTCAAAGCACCGTAGGCCCATCCTCAGACCTTGCTGTGCTCGTGGAGGTTCAGGAAATAATAGGGGCATCGCAGAGCAACTATTTAGGGCAACGGAATGAGGACAGTCAAACAAATACAAAAGCATTTCTTCTTCTTCTCCCTTGAGTATCTCTGGGAAGAGGGAAGTTACATTTGCAAATGTTCTGTGTTATTAGAACCTTTTGTAATGAATCCTCATAGGGATCCTCTAAATGATGAAAATGCTATTTCTCAACCAAAGTGTGGCACACATGTCCTGCATCCAGTGTGTAATATCCATCTTTCTCCTGTCAAGACAGGTCAGAGACACGCGTTAGAAGTGCAGGTATATCTGAGAAGCGTGAGCCAGGGAAGTCTGTGTGATAGGAACACCCACCCCCCCCAGGATCAACTCTGCATCCTTCACATTTGGTAAATTGCCCTTCTGCCCACCTTTCTGAACCTCAATTTTCTTACCTCTAAATTGGGGATAACAGTGCCTGTTTTGCCTCACACACAGAGTTTTTCTGGATTAATGGAGACAAATACGGCAAAGTGCTCTATGTACCATGGAGTAGTGTAGACAAATAGGTGAAAGTCCTTCGTGGACCACAGAGCTCTGTACACCGGTCAGCTGTTATTGTTAGAAGACCCCCGAGATTTCACGTCCAGGTAGTCTAACAAATAAAACAGTTCTTCATGCTCATGGCACCCTAAATCATCCGTTGATATTAATCACAACGGACGTTGAACTGCTTTGCTTTCGATGATGAGGTCCATCAAGGTGGGTAGAAACCAGCTTTTTCCAAATCCCTTACGATTCTGTGGTTGCTTACAGTGGTTTCTAGGCATGTGCAAGATGAGAGGAAACGCATTCAACCTCTCAACCAAACTGGGACATTTTGGGGAGCGAAAGGCAACACTCGTCCGTAAATCTGCCGGAGAAACAGGGGTAAGTCAAGACCTCCCCAGGCGAATCAGGGCGTGTGGTCACCTTATCTATAAGGATAGAACTTGAAAACGGACGGTGTGACAACAGCGCCTTCTAGATTCACGTCAAGGACTCTGTGTCCTGACTCTGCTCTCAGTTCTGTTCCTGTGCTCGTTTTCTTGTCTCGACAGTGATCCTATGAATCCTTGCATGTGGGTGACGCCCACCTTCCTCTACTGAGTCTAGATCAACACTTGATAATCTCACCCATTCCTGACCAGTCATACCATGTATAATGTTTCACTTATTATTTTAATATATCCTGTCACTAGGTGGCCACTGTAATCAAGGGTCTGACTCCATTAAAACATAGAACAAGGTAAATACTTATATGAAGATTTTGGGGGTGGGGGAGAGAATGACTCCCATGATTTCAGTTTCCACCTGGCTTCATCAGAGAAGGGAACATATGAGCTGGGTCTTGAAGGGTGAATAGGAGTTTTCCAGGAAAAGATATGAGACTCCATTTTTGATGTTTGACTGCTGACAGCTTTCAAACTCGACCCTTCCCTCATTCTCTTTTGTCCTACAGCTGGACAAGCCAATAAAAAAAGATTAGGAGCTACTTACCTAGAAGATGGTGGGGGAATTCAAGACAGGAAAATCCTAACTCTTGTGCACACACAAACCCTCACCATGGTTGGATCCCCTAACACAATGAAACCCAGAACTTCCCTCCCACCTTGCTGTCATTTCCCCCTGGCTCAGACCTCAGCCCTTCTCCTTGGGAAATGCTCTTGCTGTTTTCTACGTGTGTAACAAACTATTTCATACCCATGGGTGCCTGTGTGTCCTCCATCTATCAATCCCTGGGCTGGTAGCTGACTGGCATCTATCAGGGGATGCTGGTCTCCCAAATAAAACACTGTCCTAGCTAGCTGACTAAGTAACCACCATTACATAAAGAAATCTAGCACTCAGTTGTATATAGATCTGCGCACACACATAGCAACTCAAGCACTGTTGTGGAGGATGATTCTGGAGGACTTAGCTGCAGCTTCTCAGCAAGTAAACTCTGGTCTCCCTACACCTTTAGTCAAACATAACCACTTGCAAACATAACTTTCAAGTCTGCTTCAGATCCATGGAGATGTTGTCAAGTGATGTGAAAACAAACTCACAGAATCTGCTTTTCATTTATGTTGATATCTTGGGTCTCGCTTTCTCGAGGTTTCAAGCCAAGGAGTTTAAACTCCTTGTCTTAGCGCTCTCTTGCTGTGTAATCTGTTACGAGAAAATCGTCGGCTTCAAACAACACACTTTTATCATCACGTAGGTTCTGTACATCAGGGTGAGGACTCCAGGTGCGGCTCAGCTGGGTCTCACAAGGATGCATCCAGGGTGTCAGCCAGGACTGGGGTTTCCCCCTTAAGGCTTGACTGGAGAAGGGTTTGCTTCCAAACTCATGTGGCTCTTGGCAGGATTCAGTTCTTTGCAAATGACTAGGGAGACAGAGAGAGAGAGAGAGTCCTTGCTGGCTGTTACCTGGAGCTGTCCGTCCATGTCTTGTCTTGACCTCTCCTGTGGTCTGGTCGCTTATTTCATCACAAGCCAGCAAGAGAGAAGGAGTCTGCTAGAAAGACAGAAGTCACTCTCGTATGTAACCGAATCATGAAAGTGCATCCATTGTCTTTGCTGGATTCTGTTGGAGAGAAGCAAGCCACCAGGCAGCCCACACTCAAAGGAAGGGATTAAACAGGGGCATAAATCAGGAGCTGGGTTCATTTGGGAGTCTCCTCACCACACTCCCGAGGTCCAGGAAGGAATCTCTGAAGCTACATTCCTTGCGCTGGCAAGCCCATTCATCCATCCCCTCACGATAGGCAACATGCTACCACAGGTGGATGTGAATGGTGTAACCCAGCGTTTCTCAGCCTTTTTTCTTTTTTTTTTTAATTGAAGTACATTTGATTTACAATGTTGTTAATTCTGCTGTATAGCAAAGTGATTCAGTTATACATATACATATATATATTTATATATAGGCTCTTTTTCATCTTCTTTTCCGTGACGGTTTATCACAGGATATTGAATATAGCTCCCTGTGCTCTACAGCAGGACCTTGTTGTCTATCCATCCTGTATATACTAGTTTGCATCTGCTAACCCCACACTCCCAATCCCTCCCCCTGCCGTTGGAAACCACAAGTCTGTTCTCTATGTCTGTGAGTCTGTTTCTGTTTTGTGTATATGTTAATTTGTGTCATATTTCAGATTCCACATATAAGTGATGTCATATGGTGTTTGTTTTTCTCTGTCTGACCTGCTTCCTTTAGTATGACAATCTCTAGGTTTATCCATGTTGCTGCAAATGGCATTATTGCGTCCCTTTCTCTGGCTGAGTAGTATTCCATTGTATACACGTACCACATCTTCTTTATCCATTCATCTGTTGATGGCCATTTAGGTTGTTTCCATGTCTTGGCTGTTGTGGACAGTTCTCAGTGTGTTTTCATGATTGCACACTACAGCACTTTTTC